GTGATCCTGATGGTAAGCAATTGGCGTCGTCCGTGGACACCTGAAACACCAATAACGAAACCAGATTGCCTTGATTGTAAAATCAGGGCCACCCATAAAGAACATCAAATAAGTTATACGAGTGGTATTCACTGTGGTGTGGTGTGTGTGGTGTATACACAGTGGTAGTAAAGGTATTGTAAAAATAATTCCTACGACGATTATCTTTAGAACATATTAAAAGTATCTTTTTGTTTTTCTACACATTGTGAACTGTGACAGCCGAATGGCTTGTTTACATGAGTAAATAATGATCAGTGCTCAGTAAAGGCGACAGATTTGTTTCATCTACAAAACAAAAAAGTAATAATGTAGGTCATGTCCTTGGTAAATAATTATGATACATACAATAGTACAGTATGTCTATGTGTGTGTAGTATTTGGGCTCAAACACAGCAAGTCTATTTAGGTGATAAATATACTGTAATAATGGGTAACAATTTGTCGGAGAAATTATTTTTCCTTATCATTAGAAATAAATTATGTATGTATATTACACAAATAAGTACATAGACGTGTACATGATAATATTGACACTTTATGATACAATAGTAGATATTAAAAAAATGTTGCTCAACCTACATCGCAGTATTACATTATACAAAACAAAAAATACTAACATGTTACTTTGATCTATGTATTAGCAAATCTGTTTATTTATTTTTAAGCAGGACAGTACACAACGCCACCTTATTCCAACTCTCCTCATTAAGTATTCTTCTTACATCGATACATTTTGTAGTAATTTATTTCTCACGAAGAATAAAATACAAGACTGACGACAGCCTCTATTTCTGCAATTCTGATGAACTATAGACATCGTTTTTGGAATTGACAATTGCTTGTTAAAACTGTTACCATCGGAAACCTCGTCCCTAACGATGTATTCCCAGAATGCAAATACAATTTCAATTTTGGATAGACTGTGAATTTGTTTTGGAAATGTCTGAAATGTTCGACGTCCTGACGCAGTTGTATTGGTGCCAAGTCGATAACAACACCTCCACGTTAGTTTTACACGGATATATGATTCAGAAGTCTAGTTACAATTTAGTTTTAAAATGATCTGCTTTCAGAACTTTCTTGCAGAAACTGTTAAATTTTAAAATATACGTAGTATCTTGTATGTGTAGTCTAGACATAATTATGACCATAATTACTAGTCATAAATTTTTATTAATGAATGTAATTAGTAATGCCATTCTCGACAGCAGCGGCAACACTTACAAATAGACGTAGCTTCTTATTTTGAAGACCATGTGAGCAGCAGGACTAACTTAGGTTACTCCAGTAAATAAGATGAAGAAAATAGAATGTTCTGCCTGCCTCGTTGGCCAAGTGGTCGCAAGTGCGACTGTCGGGTAAGGGGTCTTTAAAACATTCTCAGTGGCAGCACCAAGTCTGGTATTGTGTCCGATATATGGTAGGTTTACATGGGACTCATAACTTAAATAGTGAAAAGTGGGTGTTACATGGTATGTAGGTACATGCCGTAATGTGCACCTCTGCCAACCCCTTCGGGGATAAAAGGCGTGATGTTATATTATGTCCAGGTATGTCATATACTGATTTGAACGTCTAGTACTCCAAACTGCTAGAGACAATTTATAATCCTAAAAATACTAGACGAAATATATCGACTCAAGTATTTTTAGAATTGTCTTATTCATAGTAAGAATTATTTCGTAACTGGCGAAAGTGTACTATGTACTATGTGGGCGCTGTAAACAAATATCTAAGAGGTACTTTACAGTACCTAAATGTTTTGACAGTTTCTCTCGGAGAGAGTGACGGGTTGAACGTTTGCAAACACGATCGGCTTTGTACAGTCAGCACAAAGCGGTATCACACCCACCGGCGTGTATAATTATGCTGATAACTTAACACGTACATACACGTTCAACAGAATAGAGTTCGAAGTTATTCAATTCTGTGTGTATTACATAATTTGATAATCAAGACTAATTATATTAAACCATATAATATAAAATGTCGTGGTGGCCCGGAGGTTTAAGACGCCCGCTTCTCATGCATGAGGGTGCGAGTTCAAAACCTACCAACGGCAAGTACCAATGTGACTTTTTCCGAGTTATATGTACTTTCTAAGATTATTTAGATACCACTGACAAACGGTGAAGGAAAACATCGTGAGGAAACCTGGGCTTATAATTTCTTATTATAAGTTTGTAATCACCAACCCGCATTGAGCAAGCGTGGTGATTAATGCTCAAACCTTCTCCGTGTGGGAAGAGGCTTTGCTCAGCAGTGGGCATTTATAGGCTGTTGATGAATATTAAGCCAGTGCGCAATGTCAATCTAAACAATGTCAATTATAAGTATTAATTGTATGATATAAACTACCTCAGACGTTAGCTAATCCTACAAGAGATGATTCTTCTAGACTAATTACATCAACAGTAATATATTTGACGGCGGGAGTGGTTCGGTATCGCTCATTGTGGGCCTCCGTGGATAGTGTTAACACGAGAATTACACAAGGCTTCACTTTTGCAATCGTTTTAATATTCAATCACAATCAAATAGAAATTACACAGCAGATGGAACGCGTGATAGTTTCAGTGTCGTCTGCACGGGGTGAACTCTAACCAGCAAGTGCTCCGCTAGCGGCCGCTGCCCCGGTCCACTGGCAATCCCCACCCCGGTGCATTCCAACACTAACTCCATCGAACGCCACTAGATGGCGCTGGCGTCCCAAAGCTGTTTCCTGATATTACCGACATATTTATATGTTAATTAAATTTGTACTTAAATATCGTGCCATCTCTATCATTTTACAAATAATTCGTAGTGATAGAACTACATTTGAGCGCAACTTAAAATGGTGTAGCCTTTTAGTATTCGTAAAACTCCTCACTTAAGACCTAATGAGAATTCTTAAGTCAAATATTTACTGCGTTACATTCTACAGTGTAGAATCTACACCCTATGTCATAATGAATTCTAAACAACGTACCTCGTCATCTGATTGAAAACTACCAACATAAAACAACAACGAAACAAAATCAAGCGCTAATCCCCAGAGCTTTCCATTTATAAAATTTATTTAACTGAACACAAATCGACTGATTTACCACTAAACTGATTAGCTGGATAAACAAAGCAAAGCCTAATTAGTATCAAATGGGCTGACAATAAAACATGGAACCATTGACCTAGGGATCACGTCACATTAAAATTGTTGAAACCGCAATCGGATTGTGACAGGCACAGTTCTGGCGTGAGAGTGATCCGAGTGACGCATGATCGTAATGATTTTAATTGCTGTAGGAATCCGATTCCTAAATATATGATGGGTCGTTAGTAGTTTACCGTGGGTTGCTTGGGAATCGAAGTACTTCGGGGAATTTGGATTGTTTCTAAAAATAAGCCTTTATACATCACAAACTATAATTTCATTCATTTCATAGATGTGGTAAAATTTGACTTGACCCAAAACTTTAGAAAAATATTCGTACAATTTTTTTTCAGTTTCATGCAGATGTAACCAAAAAATATAGATTTTTATTTTGGCCAATACAACGGATAGCTAAAAACTGAGGTTTCTATGCTTCCATGCATGCCTAGTACGTAAATATTTATTCACGATACAGGATGTTCTGGGAACGGTTTTCGTTTTTGCAATCGGTCTGGTCTGGTGCCTGATAAACTATCTGTCTGGTTCTGACCTCAAACATCACGCTGCCAGCCGCCATGTCACTGTCAAACGTTTTAGCATAGATTCGTTCCCCAAAATAGAACTTTAATAATTTTACAATGAAGTGTCTTAAAACCGTTAAATTACTTAGAATTCGTGATCTGGTTGGTTTGAAATTAACTATTGAATTTATTTGTCGATGTTTAGTTATTTTAGTTGAAAGACGTCAGTTTTGGCTTTGTGTGGAGATTAGTATTGAGTTTAAACTGATACTGTCAATCTATCCTTTTCTGTCCTTAATTAAATTTTCAACCTTATAACATTGATATAATGTCGAAAGTCCAATAAATAAAAGTGATAGATACGAGTAGGTTGATGTGCTGGCGCCTGTACCTTAATAACTTATTCTGTGCCAACATACAAACATACATCCCTGACATTCGGATATGTCTTCTTAATATTATTTTAATACGAATAATCGGACTGTAGTGACGAATAATTTAGGTATAGTTATTATTAATAGTAACAGATAAATCAACAATTTAACAGTTTAAGATGAACAGGAACAAACAACAGTCGGTTCCTTTGCCTCGAGCTGTTGGACTGAGAGCTCTGTGCACGTTCGTTTAGAACCGATGCAAGTCAACCTACTTTATCAAATTATTGTTTAGGTTTTCAGCTTTATCGGTTTCATATTAAGTCGAAAATGCAATGAAAAAAATACGGAATGGAGTTGGTTGACTTGCTGACGAGTTTACGCCACTTTTCATTCTGTTACCCTTGCAAATGTTTTATTATAGGGTACATTTTTTTTTAAATTAATTTTTATTTCATAACTTTTATGTGAACTATTATTGCGTATATGCAACTTTTAAATTATTGAATCATCGTTTTAAGTTTAATAAACCGTTTCCAATTGTACGTCATACAGATACTTTCTTCTCTTTATAATTTTAAGAAGTCTAATTAACATCCCACGTAATAGGACAATTGGAACCATCATAATAGTCAACTATATTTTTGCAATGTCATTAAGAAATGGCTTATCAATTTTATGCTATAAAAAAAATATTTTTCCACATGCTAATTTCAACAAGAAAGCATGGTTCGACCAAATTCAATGTTGCTCAAAATTAGCATGCTTATTTCAGGCGTTTGGCGAATCGACAAGCGTTCGATTTTTGAAAATGTTTGAGCATACTCAATAGAACGCCTTTTAGCATGCCGTTTGGGAGCATCTGTATCAATAATTTTAGTATTAGATTTGTTAGTCTTTATGATTATTATTAACATCATTACTACTGACCTCTTGCGGCGTATATCGGAATATCTCGTGCATGTCTCGGTACCACTTGACGGAATGCAGCGGAGGGTCGTGCTGCTGCCGCATGTACTGGCAGCGGAGCTCGGCCTCGCGCCGCGGGTCCGCCCACAGGGGTACTTCTAGTGTTGTGATCGTATGGGACACACTGCGGGCTGGAACAAAGGAGGTGAGGTTATTTTTGTTTTTGAAGAAATGTTTGCTGTATCGTTATGTTTTTCGACAGTTGGTGAAAAGGGGTGTATATTGACAGTCGATAATGCAAGAGCCAAGAAATGTTGAAGACACGCAATAGGCATGAATTCCAGACAGTCCCAGTTATCCGTAACTGACTATCTATAAACACCACGAAAAGTAGCCTTTGCACTTGCAACTCTCGAACCAAAGACACAAAAAATATTCAACAAATTGGCACAAAAAAGTATAAGAACAAACATTTATACTCAACACGAATAAAATAAACAGGTAATGAAGTCGAAAACGATATCACAGACTCACGAACAATACGAATACGTGGAACTTACACAGTCACCTCGTGCGAGACAACATGAACGCGACTATCGAGGGAACCAATCAAAAACCTTGAACGTATTGATGTGACTTTGTACCAACTTCACCAGAAACATGTCGGGAATTTAGGCTCCATTTATAAGTTAGTTAAGCCGTTATCGTGACACAGATCTGTTTATTATCTCAGTGCTCCAAATTCCTTCCCTCTATATTATTCTTATCTTAGACCATCGTCTCTGCTCCTCCCAATTACTGGTTAGCTGAACTTCTGCCAATAGTTCGAGTATTAACTGTTTGCAGACTAGTATTGTAATTAAACAACAAATTGTAGTTTCGACTGATTTTAGTTTTGCTGTTGGATTGTGTTTAAGTTTCTGTTCAGTGTTTGTATAATATATGCTGCACAAATTGAGCTTGATTAAGAAAGTGGCCGCCATAATATTAAAGAGAAAATAAAAAAAAGAATCTGGTTTATTCTATAAATATAAAACATGACACAAGCACCAAAAGACTGGTACCTATGCTTTATTTCTTCATCCACCTCATTGATCCGATATTTTTTAAGACAATGGTTTAGAAAAGTCCAGGAACATAGTACCTAGATATTTTATTTATCTGAACTGATAAAAATACCAGAGAATTTACTGACGAAAAGAAAAATTGTTGAGTTTGCTCTTAGCCCTGTTATGTAGAACAATGACTTATGATATAGTATGGAGGAGAAACAGCTAAAAGGTATTCTTTAATAGCGAAAAACCTTTTTTGAAAACCTCGTTTAAAAAATTCCAAGCTCCGAGTATTCATTTATAAATATCCTCCCGAATATTTCAACGTATTGCGTCGGAATATGCCAAAAATGTTAAAACATGGCCGTTTCGCGTGACTGATATTATTCTTGCGAAGTCTCTAGACCGTTCGATGGTAATATATTAGAAAATTTAATTGTTAATTTCCAGAAATCCTTTATAAATTTTATTCAACCACGTTAGTCGTTTGAAAATGTATTGTGCAAAGATTTCATTCCATATCTTCTACAAGTTTCATTTTTATTTCTTGTGTCTATTTATCTACAAATCTGGCCACTTCGTCCATAGTTTATTGTTTTAGATCGTTGTTTTTATTGACATTACAGCGAACGACCTTTGCCCACTCCAGCCAATAATGCTGCATAGTTATTCATGGCACACCCCTCACCACACATTTACAAGCGTGAGGTATTGGAAATAAAAACGGTCGCCAAATGTTTCTTACTTTCCTTTTTTTCGCTATCCTTGAGATGTTGTTTATTTTAGACCCTCCTGTTACCGTTTAGCCCCTAGGCAATTATTCCGTCGCTATAAAATATTTTTATGTATTTTTTTTACGTTAAAACATGTAGTTAGGTTTAAAAAAATGTTGGGTCTACATCATTATAATTTAAACAATTCTTTATAAATAATTTTGTTTATAAGAACTTCCTAAATAAAAAACAAATTTACATTATTAGTGATATAACTAACTAACTTCCAACCTAAAAGACTGAAAACTAATTAAACTTTATTTTCGGAACTAATTGATATCCTAAGATATATTAGGGAGAAAAGAGAAGTAAACCTAACCAGCTTCACCAAAGTTCAAAGTCCGTCTAAATGCTAGAAACAGATTGTATAATGAAATCGTTACTACCATGCAAATACTTGCGTGATCCTGATCTTAATACGTAATTCACTAACGCCATCTATTGTTTATTGCGGCAAGCTCACTCTATTACTTTGTCTAAGAACAATATTGTACAATGTAGTGCCTGGCGTCACGAGTCAACGGTCGGGACATTTGTTCTGACGTTATGTCGTTTTGAAAGCCGACCCTCAACTGATTTAATAGTCACAGAATACAAACAAGGCCACGCATATAAAGTAGGGATTTTGCACTTTACGTCAAACGCGTTATAGTGAGTAATTATTTTAGTATGATGTTAAAATTAAGCGTTCGTCCCATCCTATCATTATCAACAACGTATGTGTTTCCAATAACTGCCACTCAACCCTCGTATGATCAGTTATAGCTGTTTGATGTGTATGTGTGTGTATTGTGATATAAAGTTGTCGTATAATCAGTGATCAAGGTCCGTTGTATAACATTGTGTGGGGGAAATTGCTGGCAAATTGGAGTTGGCCAAGTTACTGCCTTTGGAACACTATTGATCAAATTGATTGCTGCTTTTACTGTACTATGATCGTAAACATGACATTATATCACACATTTTTCCTGTATTAGTTTTGGTTGTCATGCATAGTAAAATATTTTTTGTTTGTTTTTACAATTGTAGTATCGTTAATTTCATCAGCCGGTATAGCAAAACGTCTAGTTCAAAGACGTATATTTTAGTTACACTGGGGATCAAAATGTCAGTTTTTTCGCGACAGCTGCGTTTGAGACAACGTTATGAAGTAAAGACGCCAGTGCAACTAGTCCATGGTTTGTGTATGTAGATACAGTTTTTATTTCTATACAAAGAGTTGGTACTTAACTTTGGTTCATAAAACATTGCCTCACCTGAATCCACCTTAATTCCCTAGAATTTTCCGATAGCTTAAGCAAAAAATGTGTTCACATAAAAGAGATTACCAACCGATAAAACGGTTCGTTGAAACACAAACAAATCTGAGAGTGTTCGTGTAACACTCAATGTAATCTGCAACACGATCCGATCGTGATTTAGTCTCGAAAGAATACACTAAGTTCTTTTGCTTTTCATAATCCCCGGATTAGTATTACTATTCAATGCCTGGGTACTTTTTCTTGTGAACTAACCACTATCCGCAGTATCCGCGTAGAAAGCTTAATAAAACATTCAATCGGAGCGACCCTTCTTATGTGCTCTCTATAAATTTTAATACGGTCCAGGTATAAGGAGGTGGAAAAACATGAATACAACGAGTAGTGAAATGTGTCTTGGATTTGCATAAATACGAGCTGTCGGCTGTAAAATATTCTGTTAGGCGATGTTGTTTTAAACGGTAATGCGGAGGTTTAATGGATCCGACCACGATTACGGTGTATCACCTGTATCCTTCGTGGCGTGAATGTATGGGAGGGTGTGATTTTTCTGCATACAGTCATTCGTTTTCACCGTATTTCGGTTTGATTAGGTGTTAGCTCCTCGAATTAATAATTTTTCGTTACATTACATTACATTACATAACATCACGCCTTTTATCTCCGAAGGGGTAGGTAGAGGTGCACATTATGCCACTGTACAATGTAACACCGACTTTTCATTACTTATGTTATGAGTCCCACGTAATAGGGGGTGAGCCTATTGCCATAGGTATATGGTATAAGGAGAGTAGAGATGAGAATTTTTTAAAACCCAGTAACACTTTGCCCGACCCGGGAATCGAACCCGAAACCCCTTGCCCAGCAGTCGCACTTGCGATCACTCGGCTATCGAGACAGTCTATGCATTTCGTTACGTCATGACTAAAAATTCCAAAACCAATGTTAATGACTCACAACGTTTCTTTAAAATTCCATTACTTATACCTACTTCTTTTGCGACTAATACCTTAGTATTTTTGTTTCTTTTCCCCGAGTGCTCGCCCATTTTCCGTCGGAGTTTGTTGAAAGTTTAGGTTCAAAACTTTCGTTTAAAAACTAAGCTAAACGGACAGTTAAGATAAGAAGCAGCTACTTCTAACTGCAGTTGTCTGCAATTAGCTCTAAAATTCTAGCTTGGGGAGAATAAATAGTCGTTGCTATTTCCGAAACGTAGCTGAAAGTTTGTTATCTTTAAATTCTTTTATAACGAAAACAAGTCAAGTAATCCTGATGCAATTGCAAACAGAAAATGAGATAGCAACCAGTAATACTTCCCTTATTAAATTAACTAGTTCCCCTCTTAGCTCGGGGCAGATGCAATTTTTCGCGACAAGAACCCGAGTGTCCCACTTTTGCGCGGTCTGTTTTATACTCCAAACATCGCGCACATTTTTGTTTCCTCAAGACAGATGGAAATGAGGGAGAAGTGGGTTATAGTGCTCACTGGATTAGGTATGTTGTTTAGTTTTAACTAACTAACTTATTATAATACTTAATTAATTGTGTATAAATGAAATCAACATACGTACTCACGTGTACACAGGGGAACAAATTTTAAAAATAAAGATAGTTAAGTTAAAATCTGTTAAAAATAAAGATTTAATTTAATTTGAAATGTCAGAGAGTCAGATGCATCTCCAAAAGGCATAATGTTAATAATATGTACCTACATTTTGACCTGAATTACATATTATCGGGCTTATTTAATTTCATCGACGAATAAATTTCAGATAAAAATGTCCGTCTGGTACAGCCAGATGCCCTGTTTTACGGCTCTCCACGCTAGAGCCCCATCATTTGTGAAAGGATATTGGATAAAAACTTCCTTATTTTACGAAACGCAATTTTCCGAGTGTTTTGTTTTTTTGCGGATCCTTCTCCTTTTATTGAAATGATTTGTTCAATTCTATTTGAAAACTGAAGCGTAATGGTGACGCGACTGATTCGAAATTGTAAGAGGTTTAAGTTTAAGCGGTGCTGGAGTATAGCTACTATGAATAATTTGAAGCTAATCTTGCATGAAACGAGGAAGAAACTCCGAAGTGCTTAGAGCTTCGTGTAGCTACTGAGAGATCCATTAAATAACGAGTTATTTTATGCATGGATTTATCAAGGTATTGCAATGGAAATCGGAGAACGGTAATGTAATATTCTGAACTAATATGACTCAATTTACCTATCACAGGTTGTTTGCTTCATGCATAGCTTTTAGGATATTCCCAAAAACACATCAATCGTAACACATAGAAGTTTTTTAATCAGAGTTTATGCAGTAATAGCAGTAATATATGTAGACATAAAATTATTACATCCAATAAATCGCAAAACGATCCGCGACTAATCCTTGGCAGAAACTTTGATTATCCTGCGCGATAACTTCGCTGATCCCGAGGTGAATAGTTCGGAGTTAGAGGAAAGTTTAAAAAAGATCGGCCATGTTATAATAATACGTGACGTAACCTCAAGTTTGTCTGGTCTTGCGGTAAATTAGAAAGGGTCTGATCTAACGAGTCATCATTATACTGAGTTTCGACCATGAGATTGCAAAAACTTAGGAGATGCTCCATTGCCCGATTTGAAGCAACGATTAGTCGGCCGAAATGAAAAGAAGAATAAGTTTATAGCAATCAGGGATCAAGGAAAAAACGTACTAGACTGTAAAGCCCTGATTTAGTACCTAAACTCTTTTCACTGAAGTAAATAACGTAGGGTAATGTTACGTAAAGGAGTAGGTATAATGTACCATGAAGTTTTCTATGAATATTTACTTTATTTGCTTCTACACATGAAACCGTTCCTTTAGTATTTATTTATGTTTACGATTCCGTTCAACTTACGACTCTGCTGTGTGATGACCTCATAAATTAAGAACTCTGTTTTTGTTCGAGAGCCTAATAAAAGTGCTTTCGAATTAAAAAATAAGAAATCTGTGAAAAATATAAGCGGATTTTGAAAGTGAATTTGAATTTATGGTGTTATTAGAAATATCAAAAGGGGTGTTCATCAAACGAGTTTAATACCAGAATTTGAGGGTAGGTGCACTTTCAAAACTGTAATCAGTGGTCATCAAAACAAAATGAAGGGCAATTCAAGTTCTATAGAAGTTTTCAAAGCATTTAAATCGGTTCAAAATGTTTCTACTAAAACATAAATACAACCCAACAGAAATATAATCTTTCACTTTTATCACAAATTTTGAGTATGTCTAGCATAGTGCCAAGAGTAAAGTAGTAGTAGAGTGAACTAGTATGTCAATAAGCTGTTGACATACTAGAAGTGCGGTGTGGAGGTAACACGATACTGTATGTTTGAGAACACAGTGAGCAGTACTGAACACACATCTTACTGGTAAACAAGTAACCAGCTACAACTGAAATAAAATAGAGGTAAAACATTAAAACATGAAATGTTTTTGATATTTTCATAAGACAATAAGTGTAAGAGCGTCATCAACCGGGCACCAATCCCTGAATCTCCAACAATTCTCAAATTTCTAATACCCAAAAGGCCGGTAACGCACTTCTAACGCCTCTCGTGTTCTGTGTGTCCATAGGCGCTGCCGATTGCTTACCATCAGGTGATCCGTCTAATCGTTTACTGACTTATCCTATTAAACAAAAACGATATTGTCTGACGGACATTATCTCTATCATTAAGTCTACCTATTGCTAAAGCAGATTAAATGAGTTTATTAATTCTGAAATGAATCAAAAGTCTATATATCAGTACTATATGCTAAGTTACATTTAAGAAAATCATACCAAAACAAAGTATCAACTTATTTTAAAAATGAAACCTAAAACATTAGTACCGCCCAGTTACTAGTTGCAGTTGCATAAACAATTACAGGCGAAATACTCAACAAATTGTGACTCAACTGAAATATTTCAACTGTTTCCGTACGGATACAAAATTCAATTAAAATTTTACTTTTCGTTGCAAGTTGTATTGGTTGGACGAAATAGGTCAGTAAGGTACATAGTTGCACTTCGACCTGTGCATAACCAATATATCGTGGTCTTGCTTTTTATGCCCTTTCTGCACATTTTAATGGTCAGTTTATACTGGTTTTGTGTAACTTGCAGTGTACTGTTAGAGCTATCACTAGTTCACTAATAGTGGTGAGGGTTGAGACTCGATATTATTGGCTGTTCCGAAGTAAGTACTGTGGCCTCACAGGGATTCGTAACAGTATTGTTTGCAATAGGTAAGTGGAATTTAAAGTTGGTTTGGTGAAACTCAATAGATGACTGCATTTCGACTGACTGATGCTAATGTTTGTTTACAATGAGGTCTGCTAGACTAAACCATTTTGGCTTAATAAAAGATTAAATTTTTAATTGGCATGTACTTAAAACTGATTCATGATCATCATAAGTCAGTACCCTCAAAACACTCACGCACTAAGCACGTACGCATCGTGTGTTGACCAGTGGTTCTAAACCTGTTTTTATTCAGTACTCTTTGTTAACGAATTAATTCCAATATGAAGACCTGTGCCCTTTGCAATATTGGTTTCTCGGATGGTGTGCAGTGTGCGGCATGTAAAGGATACCTCGACTTCGGCTGTGCTGGTATCAGCGAAAATGGTTGGAGAAGATTGGGCTCTGACAGAAGATCCACGTGGAAGTGTCCGGCGTGCAGGATATCGTCCCCATCTCCATCCCCGGCACTCACACCGGAACCTGTCTCCATTGAAACTGTCCTTCACGAGATTCGGGACATTAAAGCTCAATTAATAAATCTACCGTGTCTCTTGGAAAGCATTAAAACTATGAAGGAGGAGCTCAACAGCCTAAAGGTTAGCCACGACTTCAACAGCGGGCAGCTGCAGGATTTCTCCACTAGGTTGACTGGACTTGAAACGAGGATGGTAACTCTAGAGCGCCTCCAGGATTCGGTTCAATCATTGCAGTCTGATGTCGACACCATCAAATCGGAACAAGCTGCTTCCGACCAAAGGTCTAGACTGAACAATATAGAAATTAAGGGTATTCCTCTCAGGAAGGACGAAAATCTTTTCTCCATTTTGGACAAGGTTAGTGATGGGGTGAAATTTGCACTTCCTCGAACTCAGATCAACTACATATCACGAGTACCTACATACAACTCCAGGGAGAAATCGATAATTGTCGGATTCTTGAACAGGTATGTTAAGGAGGACTTCGTCGCTGCTGCTCGGTTGTGCAGAGATTTATCTACCCGGGACCTGGGTTTCGATGGGCCCTCGAATCGCATATTCGTCAATGACCACCTTAATTCTGGGTCCAAGAAACTGTTAAACAAAACTAGACTATTGGCCAAGGAGAGGGATTTCAGATATGTCTGGGTTAAACATAGTAAAATTCATGTTAGAAGGCAGGATGGGTCCCCAGTAATAATCATTAGTAGTGAGAGGGATTTAAACAAATTAAACTAATCCATTGTTATAATAGGATGTTTTTTTGTTACCACTCTGCTTGCTTTTTATTTTTCACTGCGTATATATTTTTTATTTTTAATTCTTGTCACGTGACTAAAATTTTAATTTTGTATAAAAGGTTGAGCATCCCTGGCAAAGTTTCGCTACCTGACTTTAATTTAATTACTCGAACTGTTTGCATTGCTTATTGCACTGATCTATACTTAACGGGAACATACCAAAATACTTTTGTCTTGCTTGCACTCATAGTTTTGGGTGGGTTCTGTTTACCTTGTCGCACCTTTGTCCACTTTTTTAATGATTACCCACTACCAATTTTTTGTTACATTCCGTATTATAATTTAATTATTGACTCACTATTTTTTTTGTTTTGTATAACCGGTCCCTGCTGCAGCTGTTTTGAATGGAACATTGTTGTTTATTATGAGTTTGTGTATGTTATTGATATCAATGGCTTGCTTTAGAGTTAATAGTTTGTGCATTTACTACCAGAACGTTCGTGGTCTTCGTACTAAAACTCAGGAATTCTATCGTCGACTTTGTCTTTCCTCATTCGACATTATTATTCTCACGGAGACGTGGTTGACGGATGGTATTTTGGATGGTGAATTATTTAGTGGTGATTATATAGTGTGGCGTCGTGACCGCGACTTTCAACTCACTGGCCAAACGCGTGGGGGTGGTGTTTTGATAGCCGTCCGTAGGGGTATTGGTGCAATCCCGCAGTTAGGTCTTCATTCCTCGGCCGAGGACCTGTGGGTTTCTATTAATTTTAGTCAACCAGGGACTAAAAGGCATTTCAAATTGTACGTATGCGTTCTGTACCTGTGTAATCAGAACCGGGGTCATTCCTTTTCTGTTCAATTGCTTAATTTCCTAAATAAGTTAAATGGAGTAGTATTAAATAATCTAACTGATAAATTTATTATCGTGGGGGATTTTAATTTAAGTGGTATAGCATGGCATAAGACGTATGACTATTATTCACCTACCAACATGTGTTCAAGTGACGAATACCTCCTTACGGACGAATTGAAGGTGTTATCATTGAACCAATACAATGGAGTATTGAATAAACACGGTAAGCTGTTGGATTTGGTTTTATGCAATGAGACCATATATGTGGGTGAATGCTTGGACCCCCTGGTGCCGATAGACGACTACCACCCGGCCCTAAGTATCGTCGCTAGTCTATCCGGTCACACTTGTCTGGCATCTTCACCGTACACTAAATACTTATTTGACAGAGGTAATTTTGAATCTATTAACGAAGAGATTGCGGCCATTGACTGGGTGTGTGAATTCGGAAGTAAATCTCTTGGTGACTCACTTAACTTTTTTTATAATACCTTATCTGAGTTACAAGATAAATATGTTCCCAAGAGGCGGGTTTACAATAATACCTACCCTATATGGTATTCTTCCCAACTTAGGAGACTCTTAAAGGATAAATACAAATATCATCGCAAATTAAAGGTATATGGCAGATTGGCGGATGAGGTGACCTTTAAACATCTACGCGAGAGGATCACCAGACTTGAAGGTGAATGTTACACTGCTTACATAGCTAGTACAGAAGCCGGTATTAGAGTAAATCCGAAGCGATTTTGGAGCTTTGTCAAGCATCGCTCCAGGTCTGGCACTATACCTGGCTATTTAACTTACGGTGACGCCACGGTTTCCTCCACGATGACTATCTGCGAAGCATTCTCCACCCACTTTCGTTCCACCTTTCTAGAACCGGACATTGACTCCCATGTGTCTCAAATTCGTAACCATGACGTCTCGACTGCATCTGACATTCATTCTATTGAAATTAAGGTCGATTCAATTATGAGATTGTTGTCCAACCTCGACCCTCACAAGGGCGCTGGGCCGGATAAGATGTCACCCAAATTTCTTATTAAGTGTGCTAAATCTATAGCTCTTCCAGTCTCCCTATTGTTTACAAAATCTTTATCTACAAGTACTGTACCCCACGTCTGGAAGTCTGCCTATATTACACCCGTGCATAAAAAAGGTCCAAAAACTGAAATCACCAACTATAGACCTATCTCAAAGCTATGTATCTTGGGCAAAGTATTTGAGAGGGTGATATATGATCAGGTCTACGCGGCTCTTAGGAATTGTTTTAGTCCCTTCCAACACGGTTTTTTAAGGGGTCGTTCGACTGTTACGAATTTGGCTGTACTGAACGATTTCGTGTCGCGAAGCATGGATGGTGGAGCTCAGGTCGATGTAGTTTATACAGATTATTCGAAATGTTTCGATCGAATAGATCATACAATTCTCCTATCTAAATTATGGCTTGCAGGTATCCACGGGGATTTGCTTCGATGGTTCGCATCATATCTTGCATACAGGACTCAGGCCGTTGTTATCAATAATTATATATCTAGTTGGGTACCCGTTCCTAGCGGGGTCCCACAAGGCTCTTTGTTGGGCCCCTTACTCTTCATATTATACGTGCACGACATCGATTCTTGTTTCCATTCTTCTCATTTACTCTGTTTCGCTGACGACATGAAGATTTATTCAGCTGTCTCATGCTTCAATGACATGGTGGCTCTTCAGTCGGATTTGGATCGATTAGATGAGTATTGTCAGCGTAACAAACTGGACCTGAATCCTGCGAAGTGTTCAGTTATTACTTATAGTCGTAAACGTAGCACATTGCCAACAACTTATAGGTTGAGGATGCAGGTGGTACCCAGATGCGATGTAGTGAGGGACTTGGGCGTTTACCACGACCGTAAACTCCTGTTTGATAACCATATTGAAGAGATAGTTGGTAAGGCATATAGAGCACTTGGTTTTATTATGAGGGTCTCTAAAGATTTCAAACAGGCAAAAACACTCAAGATTTTGTACTGCACTTACGTAAGAAGCCACTTAGAATATGGATCGCAAATATGGAATCCTTGTTACAGTACTTACATCCAGCGACTGGAGGCAATTCAACAGCGCTTTATTAAATTTCTTTGCTTCAAACTTCATGTTCCATATAGCTCAGACAAATATCTGGAATTGTGTAGGCAGTTTCATATTCTGCCCCTTACCAATCGCCGTCGGATAGCGGATTGTACCACACTGCTAAAAATCATCTCAAATGAAATTGACTGTCCCGATCTCTTGTTCAAACTCTCTTTCAATGTGCCATGCAGATCTATTCGTTACAATCCCCCACTTTTAATTCGGAATTCCTCAACGAGGTATAGGCAGAATTCCTTTATTATGCGTGCAAGCAGAGACTTAAACAACTTGTGTAAGGAGTATCCAATAGATCCGTTTGTGACGCGGACTTCTGCGGTGCGAAGGATGCTCACCCTACAGTTTTTTAATTGATCAATGAATTAAGTGGGTAACTTGGTTTATTATTAATTTGTTATTGTTGGTAGTATGGTTGGTGTGTGTTTAATTTTTATGTTTTTTATTTAGTTGGTACATGCTCTTGCTGTTTTTTTTTTTTATTAGTTTTCTTTCCCTAAACGATGTATTTGTTTGGACTGTGAGTGTTTTTTGTTTTTAATTGAATAATGTGAAATCTGTCCGTGAAAACCTATAATTGGCTCTCTGGTGTTATTATGTTATCTGTTTGTTTCCTATGTGTAGCTGTTGGTTTTCCAATCCATAAATAAATAAATAAATAAATAAATAATATTAGACCTGTCCCAATGACTTCTAGATTGTCGATTAGGAGCGGCCTGCATCCAGTATCCATAGTAATCTGAGCTCCAGCCTTTTGCGTTGCGAAGCACCATGGGCTTTTTGTGTGTACCTGTATTCTTGTCTACATGACTTTCGTGGTGTAATAAATTGTTTTTCTTTCTTTCTATCTATTCATCATCATCATTATCGACCTATCGAAAATCTCACGGCTGAAGAAAACTTTCTTCTCACACATCTAGTACCTATTACTATGTTTTTATAATAACTATCGTGAGACATACTAAATTAACTAAAAACAAACGAACGTACGTTTTACGTAAGGAAACCGTCATTTTCAGTTTATACCTATAACCAACGAGCATGCATGAAAATACTGATGACTGTTGATGAAGCGTTCCATAATCTGTGCCTGGGCATGGGAGACAGGCATGAAGTTATGTATGTATGCATGTATGTACATACCTGTAACTACACACATACTAATGAAATATACAAGCAAATAAATACTGTGTCTAGCAAGTTAAAGTGTGATGTCGACAAAAGCCTACGTTCTTCTAGTTCGAAGATAGATGGGTATATTACAGAAGGATAACTCATCGTAAAAAGGACATGTCGTGTTTAAAGCATTAAGCAAGGAGGTCAGAATGTTATTAACTTTATTTGCTTAGGTGCGTTTTAATTTTCGTTGATGAACCATATCGGTAGGTTTTAGTGGAAGGAAACCAGTTGTTTCGTAAATTGAATAACATTACTTTTTAGACTACATTTGTATACAATTTGGAAGTTAGCAGTAGACTGCCTCGTTGGCCGAGTAGTCGCAAGTATGACTGCCGGGCAAAGGGTCTCGGGTACGAATCCCGGGTCGTGCAAAGTATTACTGGTTTTAAAAAAATCTCAGTAGCACGGAGCCCGGAATAGTGCCCTGTATGTGGCAATTGGCTTCCCCCTTATTACATGGGACTCATAACATAAATAGTGAAAAAAGTGAAAAATTGTAACAACATTGCCCAGTGGCAGTGACCCACCCATTGAGGGAAAAAGGCGTAATGTTATGATATTATTGAATGTACAAAGAAGTTTAGTGGTGCATATTCTTTTAACTTGCTACCAATGAAAAATGAGGGGTGAAATGTATTGAAGTAAAAACAAATACATAAATATGAAAATGGATGTATAATATGCCAATCAAACGATGCTATCATCCCCTTCAATACAAGGATAAGGTGCTAATATTATTCACTTTAAAAACGTGAAAATACACCCATTAAGTAATTAGGTTAACACGGCAGCGTCATACATCGGCATCGTTGAATTATGCAAACAGTAGC